TTATAAAATAAAAATAAAAAATACCCCAAGACTTTTTTGACAACCTATTATCAACGCACAATTCGGTTTTCGTGCTACACATGGTGCTGTAGAGCAAGTAAATAGAATTMGCAAAGAAATCAGGAACGCCTCCGAGCACATAGAATACTGATCAGCTTTTTTGTTCGATAAGGTCTGGCATGTAGGCCTTTTGTGGTAAGTCAAAAACGGTCTACCTTACGAATTGCATTAAACTTTGGAGTCATATTTAAAAAAAAAGAAAAGTTACAGTTAAATTAGCAGACTCATATCGGAAGAAGGAGCAATCAGGGCTGGTGTACTGGTATGCCGCTAGGCTTAACTCTATACATAATATATACAGCAGACATTCCAACAGCTGTTAACGTAAGAGCATTCGCGGATGACACAGTCACCATCAAGAGTATTAGAGCAGCACTTAACTTTTGTCGAAGAATTGCTACCCAACTGGCGTATAAATATTAATGAGCAAAAATGCATGCATGTTACATTCTCGCTAAGAACAGAAACTTGTCGGACAGTTAAAATAAGCAATGTTCTAGAACGCCAAACGTATGAAGTAAGTTATCTTGAGATTCACCTGAATCGAAGTCTAAAATGATGAAAACATACAGCGAGCAAAATAATTTGAATGCAGTTAAGAGCAGCTAATTTAAATTGGCTTTTAAACTGTTATACAATGCAATCATAAAATCGATTTGGATGTATGGCATTCAACTGTTGGGTACCAACATTGATTTAATATAAAGAATCCAATCTAAAATGCTTAAAATAATCACATCCATAAAGATCTTGATATTCCTATGGTAAAGAAGGAGATAGAAGACAGCAGAATGAGATATATTTCTTAACTTCGCGAAGATCCAAACCCTTTGGCTAATGCCATGGAAAATTCTTGCAATCCAACCAAAAAAGCTCAACCACATTCTTGAGTTTTTTTAGGTTTAAAAAGATCTATGACCACCGAATTTAACTTCAATTCGGTAATCATGCCTCTTCGGGTTAGACAAAGCCTTGACCAAAGTTTACTCACACCGGTGGAGGGGTGGCAGGATTTCACGTGCTCTATTTATTTCGTCCGCTTATGCTGGTTTATCAGACGCCGAATCTTCAAAATGAGATCCCTTATTCGGGGATGTACGGGATCGGCATGGCGTAAGGTGTCGCGCTCATGAGTTAAGACAGTAAAAGTGTTCTCAGTAAATTCTGTGAAACCGACCCAGTTAGCTTTGTTAAAGTTARCGCAAGACTTTTGTCCACGGAAACAAAATCGGAAGAGTTAGCATAGGTCGCCAGGTTATGATAATTATCAGTCCACCACTAACAATGGTAATATCGGGTGAGCTGTTACAGGTGCCCATAACTCTGGTTGGGCTTCGTCATTCGTTGTGCAGAATATCGAATCGTTCCGACAGCTCCCTCCTCCTACGATTGTTTGACAGGCAGGATTGCCAAA